GCCTGCCGTTTTTATGTACACAAGCATTCATTAATGGTTCGGAAAGTGGCACTGTACCTTAATAATATAAAGGCTTGTATTTGCGTGCATTTCTTGCTCGGAAAGTGGCAATGTACTGAGAGTGGAAGTGTCCTGAGATTAGCGCCTGCAGGCAGGCTCCATGGACCTGTCAGCTCCGGACAGCGCAAAATGCGTACATGAAGCGCTACGTCATGAACGCAAGAAATCTACCCTCGTGGGGGCGCGCTCATGTGATTGGCTTAGAATTGAGGAGACATCTGATTGGCTATAGATAGAAAAAATTACAAGTACGAATCGGGTGACCGTCAGGGGAGTCTCAAAAAACCCACACACGAATGCACAGCGATCCATGCACAGAAAGCGGTTTGTGTTTGTAGGTGCAGCGGTTTTAAACGGAAAACAATATGTGAGGATCAAAAATACATATGTAAAACTTTTTTCTGTATTTGGATTTTATTTACATGTATATGAAACGGAACACATTTGTGTGTGCATTGAAAAACACAAGTGTGGATCCGGAAATACAAGTGTGAGTCCTTTTGCGGATCATGAAATACAAGTGTGAATCCTTCTGTGTGCATGTGTGTATTATGAGACTGTTCTGAGCCCATATTATGGGCTCAGAACAGTCTCATAATACACACATGCACACAGAAGGATTCACACTTGTATTTCCAGATCCACACTTGTGTTTTTCAATGCACACACAAATGTGTTCCGTTTCATATACATGTAAATAAAATCCAAATACAGAAAAAAGTTTTACATATGTATTTTTGATCCTCACATATTTGTTTTCCGTTTAAATCCCCTGAACCTACAAACACAAACCGCTTTCTGTGCATGGATCGCTGTGCATTCGTGTGTGGGTTTTTTGAGACTCCCCTGACGGCCACCTGATTCGTACTTGTAATTTGTTCTATCTATAGCCAATCAGATGTCTCCTTCATTCTAAGCCAATCACATGAGCGGGTCCCCACGAGGGTATGATTTATTGCGTTCATGACACTTCATATACGCATTTTGCGCTGTCCGGAGCACGGTTTCCGCGGACAGAATTTATTTTACCGGACAAATTTGAAACTTACCGGTCATGTTTCAATAAGAAGAAGAAGAAGAAGAAGAATTGTGTAGCAGAGTTTCCGTTAGCAGGTAATTACCGGACTATGACCGGATATGGCTAATAACACGGGAGTAAAAGGATCATCTTTTTTCCTCTCTCCCTCCCTCTCTCCTGACAGCCCGTCAGTTTCTCATGCAGCTCGCTAAAACTTCACTCGCGTTTATGTCCATATCGATCAGATCCAGCTCTCCTGATTGGCCTTTATAGAGAGCACCGATCAAACTATTAAGAGTGAATATCGGCCGATAATGACCGGCGGGGCTCCCCCCGTTGACAGTTCACTGTCTAGCACTGGCTTCGTAGTGCACTGATCGATTAGGCTAAGCTAACCTGTAGCTGCTCCCTCCACACTCACAACAACTTCATACAGACATAAATAAAGCAGCTGTATTTGCCATACAGGAAACACACATTTAAAACGGTTTTGCCTGCCGTTTTTATGTACACAAGCATTCATTAATGGTTCGGAAAGTGGCACTGTACCTTAATAATATAAAGGCTTGTATTTGCGTGCATTTCTTGCTCGGAAAGTGGCAATGTACTGAGAGTGGAAGTGTCCTGAGATTAGCGCCTGCAGGCAGGCTCCATGGACCTGTCAGCTCCGGACAGCGCAAAATGCGTACATGAAGCGCTACGTCATGAACGCAAGAAATCTACCCTCGTGGGGGCGCGCTCATGTGATTGGCTTAGAATTGAGGAGACATCTGATTGGCTATAGATAGAAAAAAATTACAAGTACGAATCGGGTGACCGTCAGGGGAGTCTCAAAAAACCCACACACGAATGCACAGCGATCCATGCACAGAAAGCGGTTTGTGTTTGTAGGTGCAGCGGTTTTAAACGGAAAACAAATATGTGAGGATCAAAAATACATATGTAAAACTTTTTTCTGTATTTGGATTTTATTTACATGTATATGAAACGGAACACATTTGTGTGTGCATTGAAAAACACAAGTGTGGATCCGGAAATACAAGTGTGAGTCCTTTTGCGGATCATGAAATACAAGTGTGAATCCTTCTGTGTGCATGTGTGTATTATGAGACTGTTCTGAGCCCATATTGCACACCTGATGTGATAACGTTACTCGTAATTGGGGCAACAGAGCTACGAGTTAAGGAAGTCGAAAATTGTGCATTTCTCCGACTGAATATGACGCCTTTTGGCCGGCTGTTTGGACAGACTACTCTACTCGTGTCAACGCGAAAACATGGCAAACGAGTATGGGCTCAGAACAGTCTCATAATACACACATGCACACAGAAGGATTCACACTTGTATTTCATGATCCGCAAAAGGACTCACACTTGTATTTCCGGATCCACACTTGTGTTTTTCAATGCACACACAAATGTGTTCCGTTTCATATACATGTAAATAAAATCCAAATACAGAAAAAAGTTTTACATATGTATTTTTGATCCTCACATATTTGTTTTCCGTTTAAAACCGCTGCACCTACAAACACAAACCGCTTTCTGTGCATGGATCGCTGTGCATTCGTGTGTGGGTTTTTTGAGACTCCCCTGACGGTCACCCGATTCGTACTTGTAATTTTTTCTATCTATAGCCAATCAGATGTCTCCTCAATTCTAAGCCAATCACATGAGCGCGCCCCCACGAGGGTAGATTTCTTGCGTTCATGACGTAGCGCTTCATGTACGCATTTTGCGCTGTCCGGAGCTGACAGGTCCATGGAGCCTGCCTGCAGGCGCTAATCTCAGGACACTTCCACTCTCAGTACATTGCCACTTTCCGAGCAAGAAATGCACGCAAATACAAGCCTTTATATTATTAAGGTACAGTGCCACTTTCCGAACCATTAATGAATGCTTGTGTACATAAAAACGGCAGGCAAAACCGTTTTAAATGTGTGTTTCCTGTATGGCAAATACAGCTGCTTTATTTATGTCTGTATGAAGTTGTTGTGAGTGTGGAGGGAGCAGCTACAGGTTAGCTTAGCCTAATCGATCAGTGCACTACGAAGCCAGTGCTAGACAGTGAACTGTCAACGGGGGGAGCCCCGCCGGTCATTATCGGCCGATATTCACTCTTAATAGTTTGATCGGTGCTCTCTATAAAGGCCAATCAGGAGAGCTGGATCTGATCGATATGGACATAAACGCGAGTGAAGTTTTAGCGAGCTGCATGAGAAACTGACGGGCTGTCAGGAGAGAGGGAGGGAGAGAGGAAAAAAGATGATCCTTTTACTCCCGTGTTATTAGCCATATCCGGTCATAGTCCGGTAATTACCTGCTAACGGAAACTCTGCTACACAATTCTTCTTCTTCTTCTTCTTCTTATTGAAACATGACCGGTAAGTTTCAAATTTGTCCGGTAAAATAAATTCTGTCCGCGGAAACCGTGCTCCGGACAGCGCAAAATGCGTATATGAAGTGTCATGAACGCAATAAATCATACCCTCGTGGGGACCCGCTCATGTGATTGGCTTAGAATGAAGGAGACATCTGATTGGCTATAGATAGAACAAATTACAAGTACGAATCGGGTGGCCGTCAGGGGAGTCTCAAAAAACCCACACACGAATGCACAGCGATCCATGCACAGAAAGCGGTTTGTGTTTGTAGGTTCAGGGGATTTAAACGGAAAACAAATATGTGAGGATCAAAAATACATATGTAAAACTTTTTTCTGTATTTGGATTTTATTTACATGTATATGAAACGGAACACATTTGTGTGTGCATTGAAAAACACAAGTGTGGATCTGGAAATACAAGTGTGAATCCTTCTGTGTGCATGTGTGTATTATGAGACTGTTCTGAGCCCATAGTGCAGAGGTGGGAGAAGTACTCAGATCTTGTAGCTAAGTAAAACAATACCATAGTGTAGAAAGAGTTCCTCAAGTCAAAGTATGATCATCAAAATATATTTAAAGTAGCGACAGTAAAAGTAGTCATTGTGCAGATTGGTCCATTTCAGAATAATATATATGATATGTTTTATAATGATTGATCCTGAAAGTGTTCTCAAAGCTGGTAAAGGTGCAGCTAGTTTGAATGACTTTGTATACTGCAGGGTAGCTTGTGAATTTACTCCAGGTGGAACTAAAGTCTGATTTAACACTTGATTATACTTCACATCATTCATCCACATCTGTAAAGTAACTAAAGGTATTAAATACATGTAGTGGAGTAGAAGTACACCATTTAACTATGAACTGTAGTGGAGTAGAAGTACACAGTAGCATAACATTTAAATACTCCAGTAAAGTACAAGTACCTCAACATTTTACTCAAGTATAGTACAATATTTAAAAATAATTATATATATTTCATTTATTTCACATTTAAATAAAGCAATTAATTCGGTTAACAATTTGTTAGTTTTTTCCTTTAAAAAAATAACAAAAAGTAAATACAAGAATGCCGTTAAAGTACCGGATCGATAAGCAGTATTGATAAGACTAGTAGTACCGTAGAAAACCTTAACGATACCCATCCCTAGATATTACACAAGTAAAGTGTTAAGAAAGTGAAATGTTGCTTTACGAATTTCAACACTTGATGCTGTCACCTTGATTACAATGTCAGAAACCTGTATTTGCCTAACTGAATTGGTTTAAAGAGAGAAAACATTTTGACTAAAAGTTGACTAAAATGTAATTTTTCATCGACTAAAAGTAGACTAAAACGTTTTGAGTTTTCGTCGACTAAAACTAGACTAAAACTATGAAGGATAGAAATGACTAAAATGTGACTAAAACTAATAACCATTTTCGTCTAAAGACTAAGACTAAGACTAAATCAAAAACAGCTGCCAAAATTAACACTGCCGTCTACACACAGCCAAATGACATACCATCAGTAAGGAAAAAGAGTAAGAACTCAAATGTATAGGTGCAACAGATATGTTCACTCACTTCATAACCAAAATATAAATTTCAATGAACTGATCACAATAAGAACAAAACATTTACTTACAAATGTACCAAATGAAACATTTATAAATACAAATATGGACTTGGAAAACGCATACACACACACACATTTTTTAACCTTCATAATTTTCAGCAGTTAAACATTAAATTCAATCAGTTATACAAAATGTAAACTATGCGTATAAAGGCTGAATAATTGATATTCATTAGGTGTGTCAGAAGTTCTTTAAATCTCATTATTATTATGAGAATCACGTTCCTCTCTTCTTCAGAGTCACAATGTGAATGCAGGTCAGTGGATGGCGTAGTTGAACTGGTTGGAGAACTTGTCATGTTTCCTGCTGTCAGCTTTACTCATCACCTCCGCTACTCTGCGCATGGCGCTCCTGCAAGGGGGGGGGGACAGGAAGGGGTGGATTCAGAACATGTTGAAGATTTAACATGAATGGAAAATCATTCTGAAATATGCATAAAGCTGAAGACCCACTGAAACATTGTAAACCTATCAGATTGTTCAGAAACAGGAAGTGACGTACTTGTTAAGCACTTTCTTCTCCAGCCTGGAGCGGGACGTGTTGGCGCTCTGCTTCAGGTCGCTGAGGTTCGGGTACTTCTTCTTCTTCCCTTTCCTTTTCTTCCCCAGCCTGTCAGAGCCCAGGTCTTCTCCTGTGGCCGCCTCGATGTCCCGCATCAGATCTGCATCCTTCCAGTCTGCAACAGAGAGGAGTCATCAGCAGGGTGAAGAGAGGAGGACATCTCCACATTTCATACATGGCATCAACACACTGTACAGGGTTGTCATGGTAATGTATCCAGAGTCTGAGCACGTGCTACAGGTAGGGATGATGTGCAGGAGTCACCCTTCAGGGTCCTGTTCCCCTTATCTGGGTTATTTTCCCTATAAGGACCACTGCATATTATCCCCCTTATTACACGGTTACCTACTGGCAAATCAATCATTTAACATAAAATATTGAACATGGTTTTATTAAACAACGTTCAAAAACTTAAAATGACGGCAGCAAGGATCGAGGTTTTATGTAACTGTCTAAGTCTGTTCACATTTTCTTCCATGAACCAGTCTTTAAACACTGCCAGAGCCCAACCCGTGTTCCCTTTAGTGTTGACTTCCTGTCTCTCTTTTTCATCCCTGGGGACAGTTTAGCCATCAGGAATCCAAACGTTCATGCCTCCACAAATTGAAAAAATAAATATTCAAAAAGCATGGAGGATAACAAATGTGTGTTTTTGACCACAGCTGTCGTTAAATTGACCGGACTTCTTTCAGCTGACAGTCCATTGATCAGAGCATCTATAGCAACAGTCTGCTGAATGTCAAAATTGACAAATCAGAATTGAGTATTAATTCAACCACTGTCAGAAACTTAGCCATGTACCGAAAAAAGCTTAAGTTTGGCCATCTTTATTTTAAGTGTTGCATCAGTTCTATTCATACAGATCTCAGATCAGACTTTATATGTTGAAGAAGAAGCGACCTGCCTCCAGTCTGCCCCCCCACTGAAAGTTGAACAAAGTCTGTAATGAAGTCATTAGAGCTGATAAGAGAAGCCGTGCTGCACTCTCCTCTCACTGAGCAGTAAACAGTGTCGGCCCGGCCCATTTGGATCCAATTGTGGTGTTAATGAAAAGTGTAATGTCATAATTCTGCCTGATAAAGTAACGCAGAGTAATGACGGGCTAAACGAACAGACACTTCTGCTTAATGACGGACTGCGGGGGAATTAGAGATAAACCTGCAGTAATGCAAAGTAATTACACTGTGATTGTGATGGGATCCACTCTGTCAAAACACTGATCCCCCGCTCTGTGTGTGTGTGTGTGTGTGTGGGGGGGGGGGTTATTAATCAGCCGGTCTGACCCTGGGTCTGACTGGACCTTCAACTATCCTTTATTACACACACACACACACACACACACACACACACACACACACACACACACACACACACACACACACACACACACACACACACACACACACACACACACACACACACACACACACACACACACACACACACACACACACACACACACACACACACACACACACACACACACACACACACACACACACACACACACACACAGAGGAGCAGTAATTGAAAAGCAGCTGGTGTATTTAGGAGAGTCATTACTGCTAAAAGTGGAGCAGCTGCATATTTACATTGTGTGTGTGTGTGTGTGTGTGCGTGTGTGTGTGTGTGTGTGTGTGTGTGTGTGTGTGTGTGTGTGTTGTCCTCTATCACTTTGTTGTTGTGATGTTAGAGGAGTTTGAGAATAGAAGAAAATAACTGAATAAAGATAATGAAGAGTAACAAACAACTAGAAAATGCATTTCCTGCAGAAAATGCGTGCGAATGCTGTAAACTGTGAACATTTGTGGCTGAATTTAGCTGAAAATGCAGAAAAAGCTGAATATGTTATTAGCTGAATGGTCTCTGTAGCTGCTTTTAGCTACAGAAACCAAGTAAGTGTGTTGCTGAACTTAGCGGAGAAATGCAGAAAAGTGAAATGATTTGAATCAAAATTGTTACAGCTAAAATGCATTGCAATGACTTTGTTGGAAACTTCAAAGTGAAATGTGAAACTGGAAGAGTAGGAAAAATAGTGAAGAAGCTTAATATTTAAAAGAAAAGGTTTAAAAAAGGTATAAACAACAACATGTATAGCCTCAATGTCCTGAAGTAGCTGAATAATGTAATAGTTGAATGGTTTCTGCAGCTGAAAGTAGGCTGAAGGAGTTAGATATTAAATGTAAGTAGTAGTGAATTAATGTGTATTAAGAAGAGAAAAGAAAGTAAAAAGGCTTTTAAAAGCATCAGAATATTTTAACTGCAAACTTTTGAACTAACTTGATGGCGAGTGATCTGTCGCCATGGCAACGGCATTTGATGAAACCCCATAATACGCTTAGATGCGTTGATGGCTGCATCGTTACCAAACCGGTGAAGTTTTGGGCCGTTTTGGAGCATTTTCACTGAAGTTATGAGAAAACCGTGTTTCATGGTGAGCATTGTGTTGCCATGGCAACGGCATTTGAAGAAATCTCAAAACTGTCACGTAGATGTCTTCACAGCTGGACTGTTAGCACACGTGAAGTTTGAGCACGTTTTGACCATTTTCATAGGAGTTATAGCAATATCGTGTTTTATGGCGAGGGATGCGTTGCCATGGCAATAGCTTTTGAGGAAAACTCACTATTGGCACATAGACATGTTGAGGGCTGGACCATTAACCATTATCTGAAGTCTGGTGCTGTTTTGACCCTTTTCATAGGCGTTACGACAACACCGTGTTTTTTGGCGAGGGATGCGTTTCCATGGAAACGGCATATTATGTAACATCAGATTTGATGAGGTGAGATGTCAGATTTGGCGTAGAGCTGTTGAGGCATGGACCGGTGATATAAAAGTGAAGATTGGGGGATGATCGGACCGTGTCCATTGGAGTTACAGCAACATCGTGTTTTATGGCGAGGGATGGGTTGCCATGGTAACACCACATTATGTAACATCAGATTTGATGTAGAGCTGTTCAGGGCCACAGTGTTAACCATCATGTGATGTTTGGTGGCGTTCTGAGCATGTCAGTTGGAGTTATGACATCATCGTGTTCCATGACACAGGTGTTTATGTTTGAGCTAACGACGTTATGAAACACCTGTGCTTGAGCCCAGAGGTCAAAGGTTTCCATGGTGATGTGGAGAGGAGAGCCTTTCCATTGTTCTGAATGAGAGATAAACCTCTTACATGTGAACGTTTTGTTGAATAACTGTAGCAGATATCGGTGAAATGTCAACGCGTGAAGCGTCTCAGGACCCTGACGAGCGTCTGAGTCTGCTTTTTATGTACTTTCGGGTCAATAATGTGGCCTTTTTGGCAGATTAACTAAAGGTGTGCGGCTGCTGCTGTGAGGAAAAATCAGGCTGTATTTACAATGGGCCTTAATGGAGACATGTTGAAAGTTTTTGTCACTTCATGCCCTCAAGAGGCATTTTGTTTAATTCTTTGCTCAATTCTTTTTTTTTTTTTCAACGTAGGAGAGGTTTTCCTACGTTTTTCATGAAAAATGATGTCTGAGGAGTGTAGGGTTTGGGAATTACTGCAGGTATAAAACATTTTTTTGGGCGAATTTCAAGCTGTCCTCCGCTCTGTTTTGAGATCAAAGCACTCTAGACTTAACGAGCTGCGCAATACACACTAATGTTAAAATCTGAGGAAAGCCTCTTTACCAAGCTCCAAACTAAGTTAAAGTGGACCTATCATGCTATATTTGAATAATATAGTGTAGGACCATACCTATATAAGGCATATTTATACTTTTTTTTTTTCAAAATACCAAACAGATCATGCATTTTAGCCATGCCTCATTTCGCTCAATTTGACAATTCATAGCTCTGTTTTTGCAAGGGTTGATTCTGTGAGCAACAGTACCATCTAGAGGCCTGGCATATGTACTACAGCGTCTCCAGCGCTTTCGAATGGCAATGCCGTGGTTGTCTCCTCCTGATTGGTGGAGTTGGCCCAATAGCCGTAGCCCCACCGTCCTGACGTCAGGACAGTGTTCAAATCTGGATCAGTTTTTATCAGATCCGTTGCAGCCCCTTTTTTAGAGATTTGGGTATGGAGGAAAATAGAGAGGGTTGTGTTTTCTGACACTTGGTGAGTTCCCTGGCACACCTGGGACACATATTCATGTATAAAAGACGTACAAAAGTGCATTTTGCATGATAGGTCCCCTTTAAATATCTCAAAAAGTGTAAAAGATATCAAAACTGAATACGATTTGAATAGCTGAAGGTCTTGTGATAATTTTAAAGTTGGAATGAAGTCTCTAGCTGAAAGTATGTGGAAGGAGAAGCATTTGGCGCATGGTGTAGTTAAAAGAGGATTTGAAGGTTCCTCCCATTGAGTTACATGTTAAAAAAAGAGTTTAAAAAGCTGAATATTTAAAAAAGTATAAAATATTTGGAAAAAGTTTCCCATCATGTGCTGAAAAGGCTGAATAGTTTGATATTTGAATGATTTCTGTAGCTGAAAGTATGTTGAAGTTATTGAGAGCCAAAGTGTGGTTGAAATAATAATAACAAGAAGAAGATTAAAGATTCGAAGAACTATGTTATTTTTACTAAAAATAGCGGACGACAGAATAGAGACTAAGAAAACTTAAAGACAGAAAATAAATCAGAGATGTTGAGAGACAGTGAGAGCCTGAGAGTGATCAGAGCTGCAGCAGGGCTCTGTGCTCTGTCATCACCTGTGTGTGTGTGTGTGTGTGTGTGTGTGTGTGTGTGTGTGTGTGTGTGTGTGTGTGTGTGTGTGTGTGTGTGTGTGTGTGTGTGTGTGTGTGTGTGTGTGTGTGTGTGTGTGTGTGTGTGTGTGTGTGTGTGTGTGTGTGTGTGTGTGTGTGTGTGTGTGTGTGTGTGTGTGTGTCATTTAGAACCAGGAGGAAGTTCTGGAGAAGTCGTACTTGCAAATGATTTTTCCTTTGTGTAAAAGCAACAAGAGCACAGCAGCAGTCCACCATGGCTGTTCTGTGGAGGAATATTCACATTTGTGTTGCAGCGAGGTCAATGATCAGGTCATACATGGCTCTGGTTGGTGGGAAAGCAAACTGTTTCACAAGTTGAGCCAACTGACACTAGCCGCAGCACAACATTATAACTAAACACAATACCTATGAACACATTTGGATTATTTTTTTACTTATTATTTGTTTTGCTTTGTTCAGTCGTCTTTTAGCTTCACGTCCAGTTCATAGTGTATAGTAGTATATAACTAGCTGTCAATCACAATAAGTGATTTGTGTACTGTGTTTTTAATTCCCATGTCCGATAGAAAGAGGAAAGGAATGTTAATAATATTATTGTTTTTTTTTTATTATTTGGTCTGTTGGTTGATACAATTGTAGCACCAACATCATCAGACCAAAATAACCTCCGGGGAAAATGATGATAGCTTAAACCACTCCAGTTCTTCACGTGTTGTCACTTTTAAGGTGTCTTGTAGGGTTAACCCTATTATTAAATAAATAATCATAGTCCAATAATTTAAAGTATGTGATTATGAAATGGGACATTACACATATTGAGTACTTTTACTTTTGGTACTGAGGTATAACTTGATGCTAAAACTTTTGTACTTTTACTTAACCTGTTAAGCCCTGAGCCTGTTTTTCAGGTCTCAGGCTCGAAAATGACATTCCCAGAACAAATGACCATATCTTCCCTTCTAAAAGGGTTAAATTAATAATCTTTTTTCTCAAAGTAATGATAAACCTGTGAGTTGGATGTAGAAAAGTCAGAATCAATATAGATGTTTTTTATTTTAAAGAAAATTCAGATTTTACATCGTAAAAAACTGTAAATTATAGTGTCCGTCCAAAAATTCTTTTTTACTTATAGTGAAAACCAGCCTTGGATGATGGTAAGGTAGACTAAAAGCTTTAGGAATCCAAAGTACAAGATATAATAAGTACCCTGTATCAAGATTGATGCAAAACAAGTGACATTTGACCTTTTTAGAGAGATTTAGCAAAAAGAAACCACTTCTGGGGTCATTTGGGTGGATGTTCCATATCTCTGGCCCCCCTTGCTCGATTTTGATGGTTGACACCTCTTTCTGACCGTTAGAGCCAATAGAATCGAAGGGGGAGTCCCCCACACACACACGTTGTGAAGAGAAAAGGTGGAGGCTTCGCGCATGTAATTTTCCATCAGAGTGAACCTATCTCTAGCTTTGACATCTGGAAACGGAAAAGCAGTTTTAATGCTTATGGATTATCAGAAATCATTTCAAAGGGTTAGTAGACTAAAAGCTTTAGGAATCCAAAGTACAACATATAATAAGTACCCTGTATCAAGATTGATGCAAAACAAGTGAAATTTGACCTTTTTAGAGAGATTTAGCCAAAAACTGGGCCATCTGGGGTCATTTGGGTGGATTTGACCTATCTCTGGCCCCCCTTGCTCGATCTGGTTGGTTGACATACCCTTGTGACCGTTAGAGCCAATAGAATCGAAGGACGATACCTACATAGACACACATTGTAAAGAAAAAATGTTGCCGCTTCGCGTGTGGAAAGCGAAACTAAACTGGAGGAATGTCTCCTTCTGGAGTTTGGAAACTAAAACGCAGTTGTATTGCTTATGGATTATCAGAAATAATTTCAAAGAAGGCACAGACACATAGGATGAACCTATGGATTAACTGCAGCATCGTTTTTTTTATCGTTTTAATGCCATTGAAGACCACTTTTGACCAAGGTGAGCCATATTTACATGTTTAGCTTCTTGGCTCCACATGTGATGATGTACGCTTTCGTTGATAGCGTCGCGAATGTTTATCACTGAGTGTTGAGGTGGGCACCGTTAGATTCAGTGTCTCCAGGACACCAAAAAATAGTGTTTGGTTGTGCATCTAGGATAAGTAATAAGGGAGTTCCGAGTGAGTTTATGTGCCTTTGTCGTCCCGTTTTTTCGATCGAGGCTAATTCAGAGGCTGAGTGCTAGCATTGTGGGTTTTTTTTGAAAAAAAAAAATTAAAAAGATCAGTTAGCTGAGTTTCTTCCCGTTACATGGATATAACACATTCATAGTTTTATTCAATATTAAGATTCCTTAGACGTTGTTTCCTGCAAATGACGCGTTTATCCGCCCGGTACCGGGGGGAAGGCGTGAAACAGGTTAAGCAATATTTTCCTTTCTGGTAATACAGTATTTTTACTGTTTAGTGTTGATTGTAGAAAATATCTTCTACTTCTTCTCCCTGTGGTGTGAGGAACATTTTGTGAACAATGTGCAGGGATGTGTGCTCCTTACCCGGGTGTTCCTCCCTCCTCTTCCTCTCCTCCTTCTCCTCCCTCAGCCGGTCCTCCAGTCTGCAGGGTCTCCCTTCCTGGTCCCGAGGGACGATGCCTCCATGGAAAGGACACTGGAGGACAGAGGGACAGCTCACACACACTCTGATACATCTCTCAATGAAACAAGTGCCATTCAGTCTGTGGGGCTGGTTTGGTTGCTTCAAAACTGACCTCAGCCCAGTAGGAGCCACAACAAGAAGTCATCGCTTAGTCGCTCTAACGCCAGCGGAGATATCCCTCATAATAAGGACAATGTTGGACTGCGTTTGTGCTCATGTTGCTGTTAAACTCACGAAGCCAGATTGAAATTCAGAAACGACTTCTCCAACATTATACTTTTCTCCAGAGTGACGTCGCTAACGGTATGCTACTATGGTTTAGCATTTGCTGACCACGGCGTTTGGCCTTAACTGAAAAGGTTTGGCACATAGCACTGTACATCAAGGATTGTATAACGTTTCTACATGGATGATGTTAGCCTGGCCAGCAAAGCCAGTTGGACTCATCAATATCAAGATGTAGACCCTATAAACTAAATATGTATTGCATTACATTTGTGTGTGTTTAAAGGAACAACTAAATCATTATTCTCCATAAATGCTTTGAATGAAGAGGTCCTTGTGGCTAACACAATATCAGAAACAGGTTGTGGTTTAAAGTATGTTGAATCATAAATAATAAGTCACACATATGCCTGGTTAATGTTGCGTGGCGTGTCAATACCATATATATGTGTGGGGGCGTTTTAGCCAATGTGCGAACTCTGCGCTACTGATTCTTCAACAACGTTCTACGCTCTCCTTGGCCTGCTGTTGTTCCCCTCAAGCTTCTGACCTACAGTAAGTGTTTCTCTGTTATTGGAGCGCGCCAGGATTATAAATGCCGCAGTCGGACCAGTTTTTGGGGCCCATAGCCGGGACTGATGCAGTGGAAACACAAAAAACTGGTTTGGAATCGGGGCCCGGCTCCAAACAGCCCTGGAAGCAGCTGGATGGAGAGGGACTACAATGAGAAAGGGGGGCAGTCTTTGTGTCCCGTACCTTGAGGCGGTCCTGTCTCTGGCACAGCTTCCCGCCCCCCAGAGGAGCTTGGCAGTGATGGCTGACCGGGGTGAAGCTCCCGGGGAAGGAGATGTATCTGCTGCGGCTCTCTGCCAGCAGCTCCTTGTTCTCCACCTCCTCGTCCACATCGATGGGAACCCAGAACTGATGCTGGGAGGCCGACCTGCACAGGGACCGCACAGCAGAGCATGACGAAGACTCTCCTGTTGCTGTATGGTATTATGAAATTCGTTATATGTTTTTTTTATTATATCTTATCTATTTTTTTACGTGTGGTCTGATAAAATAAATCATTTGGGACCACTTAGAAGTTAGGGTTGGATACTTTTAGTTTTAGGGTATTTTATTAGTGTTTTGTTGATTGTAAATGTTTCTGTATGATAAGTAAATTATTTAAAACTCTCGAAGTGTTAGTAAGATATACTTCGAATACTTTCTGTTTAGAATCTGGGCCCCTGTTCTCAAAGATTCAGAATTTAAGTGTATTTAAATGAAATAGAATGTTACAAATGATTCTTTAAAAATCAACACATTTCTATACATAAATACAAATTCGGTATTCTCAGGATAAAAATGAAGCTGTGTGTGTGTGTGTGTGTGTGTGTGTGTGTGCGTGTGTGTGTGCGTGCGTGCGTGCGTGCGTGCGTGCGTGCGTGCGTGCGTGCGTGCGTGCATGCGTGTGTGTGTGTGTGTGTGTGTGTGTGAGTGAGTCTTGGTTACTTGATGATCTTGCCAGCGTTGGGCTGCTCCTGGCCCCAGTAGTAGAGGTCCAGACCAAACGGAACCACAGGAGCATCAGCAGCCTTCTGAGAGGAGCCGGGCCCCGAGGAGGAGCCGGGCCCCGAGGAGGAGCCGGGCCCCGAGGAGGAGCCGGGCCCCGAGGAGCTGCTGCTGCTGCAGGAAAGTAACAGCAACATTAGGGAACTGTTTCATAATCAGCTACATGCCGCACTGAGTTCATAAACCTGATCCTGTGGGTGCCTTGGTGAGCGGCTAGTAGTCTCTCCCAGGAGAACTAAGGAGGCTTTCTGAACGTGTTTTGGGGGTTTCCATAGAATCCTGCTCTTCATTTACGGAGTTTCCTGATGGGAATAGAGCTTAAGAGACGGCATGGTATTGCACCAGAACCAGGGTGACGTGTGAGAAACAGCCGGGTCCAGCTGCCTCTACAGACGTTGAAATGACCCCTTTCATTTGTAAAGAGGCTTCAGGAGATACTGTAGGTCTCAGACTGGAGAACTGCTCTAACACACACCTGCATATTCTGAGTGACCCAAAAGGAACATTATGAAGTGACTGTGGGAGTCTGTAGGGAACTAAGACTGATCTAATTAGGCCTGGCATTAGAGGGGGGGGGGGGGAGTTCATACATCAGTGCTGCACTGAGAGGCAGGAGGAGTTTTGGTATTAAGGGGCAATATGCTATATCTCTAATCATTATCCGGCTTAGCTGAATACTCGATTCTGATTGGTCAATTTGGACATTTCAGATGTTACTGAGACTGTTGAACACACCGCTGCCAAGCATAACAATGACCGTCGCTAAGGACGATCAAGGGTGAAAAAGTAAAAATGTTAAAAGATAGAGCGCTGAACATCAGAAAAACCTACAGAAGAAGACAGACAGGAAGTAAACACTAACGGGAACAACAGAAGAAGACAGACAGGAAGTAAACACTAACGGGAACAACAGAAGAAGACAGACAGGAAGTAAACACTAACGGGAACAGCAGAAGAAGACAGACAGGAAGTAAACACTAACGGGAACAGCAGAAGAAGACAGACAGGAAGTAAACACTAACGGGAACAGCAGAAGAAGACAGACGTCCATTTCTGTTCATTTCACTCTTAGGGATGTAAAAGGATTTCTGTAGCAACTTCAATGAGCTGAGTAGAGGGGATGTGAGAGGAGGTGAGAGGAGGGGAGGAAAGGTGGAGGGGAGTAAGGAGGGGGTTTGAGGACATCAGCAGGTGTACCTGGGCTCTGCAGGCAGGGGGAGGGTCTGGGTGAGGCGGCGCTGGGTGGCCGCTGCACAGGTGGGATCCTGCTCCTCATCATCCATGAGACGCTTCAGCCGCCTGATGGAGGAGAAGGAGGGGGGAGGGGGGGCTGCGGGGGCTTTAGCTGGAGCTCTCTTTGGGGCTGGAGCTGTAGAGGTGGAGGGAACAGGGTCCAAACCTGCCAACAGGAACAGGAAGTTAGGGTCACTGCAGTGCTTTGTTACACACACATTATCTCCTTACTTTATTACACTTTCTTTTCTTTTTTTACAAGTAATTAGTAATATGCATCCTAGAAATGTATGCGTGAAAAGAGTTCATCATTTACCATCATTATCATTATCGAAAAATAGATTAAAACAAATCAGAATTCAAGTAAAAAACAATATATATATTATATTTTTGTTCCGAAGTTTAAAAATGTATTGAGTGTTGTTTTAAAAAAAAATCTGATTAGATGAATTGTTCAAGATGTTAGGATGATTTGTGTTACGTTAATGGAAAGAAAAAAACCATTTTCATATCTATTAAGAGTAATTTGTTTTTACAAATGTAAAACAAATTAATAATTTATTTTTACAAATGTAAAACAAATGACTCTTAACTGTTGAAAATGTACAAGAGTGAGGATTCGTTGCCCTACAATATAGCATACTGAATAGTCTGGGTTCTGTACAAAACAAGACATTTGATCATGTGTGAAGGTACATTTTCTCTGTTCCCTTTATATGGAACAAAGCGGTATTGATTACTGATCTGCAGATAAACAGATAATGAGAATAAGCGGCAGTTGCAGCCCTAGGATAGTGAACCCTGGTAATGACCCTGCCTACATACTGTTACAATATATGTAATGCCTTAAAGGGGACCTATCATGTAAAATGCACTTTTTGATGTCTTTTCTACATAAATATGTGTCCCCGGTGCGTCGGGTAACTCACGCAGCGTCAGAAAATAAAACCCTTTCTCTTTTCCTCCGTACCCACATCTTTTAAAAACGGAGGTACAACGAGCGGATACAAATTTGCTGCCGATATGACGTAATTTCGGATGGTGGACCTACAGAGAGCTGCTATCAGAAACAATGCCTGACGTGTTTTGGACGTAATCTCGTCTTTGTTTACATTAGCAAGCCTCGCTAACACTCAGAGCTAACCTGTACTGGAGAGCAAATGTGTTTAAAAAGCAGGACATAAAAAAAGGTAGTGTGTGGAATTTGAGCCTTTGCAGACCATTTACATGCACTAAAACCTATAGAAGAGAGAACACCAGAAAAGCATTATAACTTTAACTCATTTCTTGATAGTCACAGTCATTCTTGCACGGCTGTGCATTTTCAAAGCAAGGTGCTTTTTAAAAACCTAAAACCAAGTCAACAATCAGGTTAACCCCCCCCCTCCCCCCCCACTCTGTGATCCCTTCCTCTCTTTGTCGGACTCAATCTGCTCTTTTCAAAGGTTTGTCTGGATGTTGTGGAAGTTAAGACGCACAGATCAATGGGAGGAAATGTGTGTAGTAGTAGTGTGTGTGTGTGTGTGTGTGTGTGTGTGTGTGTGTGTGTGTGTGTGTGTGTGTGTGTGTGTGTGTGTGTGTGTGTGTGTGTGTGTGTGTGTGTGTGTGTGTGTGTGTGTGTGTGTGTGTGTGTGTGTGTGTGTGTGTGTGTGTGTGTGTGTGTGTGTGTGTGTGTGTGTTAGAGAAAGAGAGAGAAAAAGGGGGTTAAGGGGGTTTGAGGAGAAGACAGGGAGGGAGAAAGCGAGAGAGGAAAGGCGGAAAGAGGTATTGATTTTCTCGGGTTAAGCAGGGCCTGTAATTAAAATGTTAATTTGAGAAAGAGAGAGATAGTGTCCTGACAGCAGAGGGGGGGATAAGAGGACTGATAATCAGAATGACAGAACAGGACGGAGGGGAAGAAAGAGAGAGCAAGAGATATCGATGGAGAAAGAGAGGAAATAGAAGGAGGAGAGATCAGAGGCAGGCTTTCTCAATGAATGAACACTGGAAGGAATGAGAAGAAAAGAAAGAGAGAGAAATGATAAATGTGATCTACTGCTGAGAGGAAGAGGAGCACAGAGAGCAGGGATGGGAAGACGTTTGGAACCGGAAGAGAACAGACGGACTACAGAAACAGATTAACCCTCAACACCTTTTGAAATCTTAGATATACCTTTGAGACAGGTTATCCTCGTCCAAATTACATCAAAAATATGATGGATTATATATTATGTTAGCAACAGGAAACATTCTAGCAGATGAACACATTCTACCTTCAGGGTCTTACTTGCATGGCCACTTGAAGCTAATAAATGAGCCACCAGCAAGTGTCAAAGCTGAAACCATTTGTGCATCTTCATAAAAAAAAGGTAAGGGTCAGAAGCCTGATCACTGCTTGAGGAGCTGCTGTGGCTGGATAGCTAACCAGCAGAAATACAGGTGCTATCGTGCCACAAATCTAGCAAACTAGTTTGCTAAACAAAGAAAGAATATGTATGAATCCATTGATTCCTCGCAGCGGCTGTGTCTCACGGTGCAGCACAGCTAATGTTAGCAGTCTGGCTCGAGCTCTCCAGCAGAGTGGTGCAGGAATAAAACCCGTAAATTGGTTAGCAGTTCAGCACTTCAGTTTCCCTCGTCTCAAAGTCAATGTTTTTTTGAATGTGTTTTTGGTTAGCAGCCTGTAATTGGTCTGCGGTTAACACAAGCTGAAGACATTTTAACATTTCTGCTAGGACATAAAATACATCAGTAAACACTCCACTGGTGAATGTCTGACCTACTATTAAAAAGTGTAGTTGCTGAGAAAGTGGCTAACAGAAACTGCTTACGCGAGGTACCAAAAATACTAATGTTTAATGTCCAACATTAGCCGCATTTAGCTTAGCGGTGGTGATGCGCAGATATGCAGCATTGATGCAGTTCCTCTAACTCAGGGGTAGCCAACATGGCGTGGGCACTTATGGCGCATTTCGACTACAGCGCAGAGCGCGGTTTAAGCGTGCTGTGCCGTGCCTGGCCCGTTTTTGGTTGCGTTTCCACTAGGCGTAGTTCCGGCTAGCGGGTACTTTTTCACAGTTTTCTGGCTCTCCAAAATCGAGGTTCTTTCCGGGCCAACAACCGGGCTGAGTATGCTAAACTAGTGAGAGAATCGCTGGCAACTACAACAAAATGAACATATTTGACCGTGATTTAATTGTAATACACGTTTCAAAATGATGCCGAAGTAACAACATACTGATACCGGTTAGTAAAAACCATGAATTAATGCTTTGACAAGTCTGCAGACAGACGGCAGGCGAAAAACCTTTTAAAATGCGTGTTTTCTGAATGGAGCTTGGCTAAGCTAACGTTGTCGCCAAGCAAATCCAAAATGTAAAAAATACACAAAACAAAAAAGGAAATGTAATTAAAAGAATCTACCCTATGCATAAACGAAACCTCAATCATAGCGAACTCTATCTACTTACTACAACTCTATATCTATCTAACAGGTAGATATAGGTGGTTATATATGGGTTTACTGGCAGGCCGCAAACAACTTCACGGCGTATACTGCCACCCGAAGTCCCGGGCCGGAAGTCCCCGGAGTTGGGCACTGGCTTCAGTAGAAGCTGCTGGGACTCCCAGCAGCTTCTACTGAAGCCTTCCGAGTAAATCGCCAGAACGCCGACACCTCCTCATCACTCCACCGCTCCCATGTTTTCTTTTGTGTTGCCATAAGTTAGTCTCTCTCCGTTGGTGCGCTGGGCGAATGCTAATGCTAATAATGCTAATGCCAACAAATAAAATGGCGGCTTCACAAAACTTTTTGGGAGTTTTACGGGGCGTGGTTTGCAATCCTCCCAGCCAATCAGAAATGGGAACCTTTTTCTCCCAGGACAGTACCTGCTCTCTAGCAGGGACTGAGAAGGGGATGGAAAGGTTCTCATGAACTAAGTTCTAGTTCTGGATTTTTTTAGTGTGAACGCACATTTTCGGAACTATACTGGGAAAAGTACTCCGGTGTGAAAGCGCCTAATGTGTACTATAGGACAGTAAACAAAACAAAACACAGTTTAAAAGGGGAGTGATTAATAAAATATGCATAAATAAAAAGAAAGAATGCTAACTAGGTAACATAAGATAAGAATAAACAAGTTTAAATGATTTGTTATTGGTTGTGATCATATTCTAAAGATGTTTGGATTATTGAAAAGTATACAGCTCCCTTTCATCTGAGTGTTGAGAGCTGTATCCATCAATTCATCTGGTGCTCAAAGTGCTCCAGATTGATGCTTTTCACTTCAACATTTAAAAACAAATCTTCCCGTGGGTGCATGCCCCCGGACCCCCCTAGAGGAGGTGAGGACCCCCCTAGAGGAGGTGAGGACCCCCCTAGAGGATGTGAGGACTCCCCTAGAGGAGGTGAGGACCCCCCTAGAGGAGGTGAGGACCCCCCTAGAGAATGTGAGGTCCACCCCCAAATAAAGCAGGTTAAAATAATTAAATTGAATACATGTTCTTTTAGTAAACACTGAAAACGGGTCCCACAGACCCAAACAGCACACAAAGGTTAAAGGTCAGCATATCATAATGTTAAAATGTGCTAAATATATACACTGCAAAAAACAAACAAAGAGGAGTAAAAGTAGCTCACGACTCGTTTTATTTTTTGAAAGTAGCTCTCATCCTAAAAAAGGTTGGAGACCCCTGGTCTAACTGTTGTTTAATTTTGGTTGTTGTATTTACGCTAAAGAAATCATAAAGCGCTGTGAATACGTGGAGATTATCCTGCTGAACAAAACATGTAAGTATCATAAACGTGTTTGCTTAAGAGCTTATTTTCTGTAATGTTCAAAGATCCAATGAATACATCTGATTGCTTTTTGTCGATGGAGCCTTTTGAATGCTAACTTCCAGGTCGGCATTCAAATATATGCTAGTACTGAACCACTCTATGATGCATCCCTTAAAAGGTAGCACTGCCACGACCGTTTGCTGTCTGTCAACAGCACAAAAAAAGCATGTCCAAAGTTGAACCAATTCATTAAACACCCACACAGTGGATGTGGACACATTTTGACCTAAATGTGTCCACTGTCCTGGTGCTGTACATTTCATAATCACACCAATTGTGTGTGACCAATTACAGGCTGCTAACCAAAAACACGTTCAAAAAAACATTGACTTTGAGACGAGGGAAACTGAAGTGCTGAACTGCTAACCAATGTATGGGTTTTATTCCTGCACCACTCTGCTGGAGAGCTCGAGCCAGACTGCTAACATTAGCTGTGCTGCACCGTGAGACACAGCCGCTGCGAGGAATCAATGGATTCATACATATTCTTTCTTTGTTTAGCAAACTAGCTTGCTAGATTTGTGGCACGATAGCACCTGTATTTCTGCTGGTTAGCCATCCAGCCACAGCAGCTCCTCAAGCAGTGATCAGGCTTCTGACCCTTACCTTTTTTTTATGAAGATGCACAAATGGTTTCAGCTTTGACAACAAGCTGAAACTAGCACCAACAAAAACTCTTTATTCCTGTTTGTGTAATGTTTGCCAAAACCTGCAGTGCCAGAACCATTTTTTTGTTATGAAACCATATATTTGATGGTCGTTAGTAATCGGTTGGAGAGTGCAAAGATTCAGAAACTAACTAGGTAGTTGCTGCTTTGTTTGTTTTTTCTATTGCATTTCCTGACAATAGAATGACAACAGCTTTATAATTGACATCACATTACATTTGCTTTGTAACTTACAATAAGTGCAATCAACCAAGAGGATACTAAATCAGGACAGCTAGAAACAGCTTTAAAAAGGGGCTGAACCTTTGAAGTGCTACATACAGAAATTAAAATGATTATTAGTTATTACTAATTGTATTTTCATTGGCCAAGGTGCAGAGGAAGCAGGTGTGTTTCAGTGTGCAGTGGAATATAGACTTCCTGCTGTCCTGGCTCAGTCCACCCTTTAGGAGCCAGCACAGATTCATTCATTAAAAAGTTCACAAATAGATAAATACATGTCAGAATAAAACAAGTAGACGATGGATGACTATGCAAGGTGCTCTTGCTTGGTTGCTGCTGTGTTTGTGTGTACTGTATGTGTGTGTGGGGGGTAACACCTAGGTGCAGGGCTAATAGGGGCTCATTAAGGAGGTTGCATTGTTAATGTGGTATGGCCCCTGCAGATCATTACCTAACCCACTAATCACCCTGACACACACACACACACACACACACACACACACACACACACACACACACACACACACACACACACACACACACACACACACACACACACACACACACACACACACACACACACACACACACACACACACACACACACACACACACACACACACACACACACACACACACACACACACACACACACACACACAGCTGTTTGGGCACATCAGATACAATCTAATTACTTTAGCTTCTAATTGATTAGTAATGGAGGGAGGTGGGAGTGGAGCAGGCTCTCAGGTAAAGAGGAGGCTCAGTGTGAATGTAATGACTCAGGAGGCTGCTGGGAGGTCAAAGGTCGCCTCACAGCTGAACACGCAATAACACCACTGTCTGCAACGTGTTCTGTTATGGTGTCATTAACAAAGACACACATACAGTAAAGAAAGTAATGCTGGCTGATATGAGTGATGGGGGGGGGGGGGGCTGAATGTGGCTGACGGAGCAGTGTGAGACTTTTACTGTTGCCTGGAGCCTGGTGATAATGATACTAACAGCTAATCTAATATTTAGGAAAAAAAGCGTGTCGTTGTAAAGCTGACGCTGCGTTGAGATGAGCAGGCAGTTGGTTAATGACCTGAACATTTGACCTCTAACCTAGCATGCTGCCTGGAGGCTAGACATGATCCATACAGGAGCAATGAAACCACAGATATGCACTGCACTCATATGCAGCTACTGATGACTCAGGGTGAAGGGGAATGGATGTGTTGACAGCACAATATCCATCAAAGACACACGGGGGGGGAAATACTTGTGGAAAAGAAACATCTGTCTCCATTACAAGAGCGTCCTGCATTCCAAATCAGAGAGCTCACGGTTAGCATTCAGCGTGTGGGACTATGCAAACCATTAGCTCACCCATTGTGAGCTTGTTAGGGCATTTAGCATTTATGTCCTCCCGGGGTCAGTCCCAGGGCAGTACTCAGGGGTTCTGGTGAGCAGATACTTGGGCCAAGACTTCCGGTTCCTGATTAGAAACTACAGACGTTGAGAGGCGACGTCTATGACAGGATTGTTTTCCATTAGGCAGTTTAAAAGCTTATCTTAAGCGAATACAATCTGAATCATCAAAAGCCAATGGGTTCCCAGGTTGCATTGGGACAAATGGCCCTCAGAAGTACTGTTTAGCTGCGCATGGAGGTATAAAGAGAGCTGGAAACAGTGTTGGAGGCAGGGCCCTGTTCATTCCTATGAAAGTTGCAATTTGCAGAGCAAGACAAAGATTGATCGACTAGATTAAAAAGAATCCGGATAAATGGGGGACTTCGGGCGATGGAGCTTGTGTGTTTTCCTGAAGCTCCGCCTCCAATTTGACGTCCTCAGCTCAGGCGCCGTTTACACGAGGAGAAAACTGCTTGTATCTGCATAGTTTCGCGTGCGTATAGCCCTATTATTTACACGAGGCCGATAGAAACTGACCCCACAAACGATAACGGGTCCCAAGGTGGATAGATTTGCAAACGAAACGCTCTGGGGGGTCAACCGAGTCCGTGTAATCACCTCTATACGAATATTTCCTGAAAAAATAGCGATAGCCCCACCTCTCCCCACCTCTCCTGCTCACTGCTGTAGCAACTATCAAAAATAGCTGTGTTAATTAAACGCACAAGGGGTTCTTGAATGAAATAATATTATAAAAGGCAAACTAGAATTGTTAACGCCCAATATACTCCTTAAACAAAATAAACAGAGTCAGATTTCATGCATTGATCCATTATATTGACAAAGGTGCGATCTCACCCGGTGTTTGTAGAGAATATCTCTCTTTCTGAGCGCGTCCTCTCCACAGAGACGTGCTTCTTGGTCGGTCGATGCAATATCCACAGATTCGGTTTCTTTCAGTTAACTTCCCCGTTGCATTTATCCATATATTTACATGCTGAGGAAATGACTATATCCCGCTGAATACCAGCAATCGCCACACACACTTCCTCCTGTCAGTAGCTACTGCTAGTGCTACTGACCATGCTACAGATATTAGTGCAAAATCTACAGCTCCTCTACCACAACCATCAGCAACAAGTGGACATGGAGAATTACATGAACTACATGTTGCTAAATCCACCGCGGGGCTTAAACAGAAGGGTAGCCATGGCAACATTGCGGCGGGGCTGCTCGGGCTGCTCTTCTTCACGGCTTTTGGTGTATTTTGGCGGAAGTTACAGCGCCACTTACAGTCCCGGCATATGTACTACAGCGTGTCCAGCGCTTTCGAGCGGTCTCGTGTGGAAGTACAGCGCCACTTACAGTCCCGGCATATGTACTGCAGCGTTTCCAGCGGCCTCGTTGGAACAGACACGTTAAATGAAACGAATGCATGTGAACGGAAGACTTTTTTGAATACGCATACTGTGCATAAACGCAAACGGTCCCGTGTGAGCGGGGCCTCAGTCTAATGAATGGAGAGTGAAAATAACTCTGGAGTTTCTGCTTGCTTTTTTTTGGGAAAGAATCTATGCGCTAATTGATATACGTGACTTTCACAATGTAAATCAATGGGAAAAAGTATTTTTCGGCCCAGTGACGTCACGGACGAGAACAGACTACAAGAATTGGCTTCAAAAGCGGCCAAACCCCCGGGGGGCTTGCTCAAATGTGATTGGCCAATACTAACCAGAGTACCTGTTGCTTCTGGTAATAGATATTTTTTCTGGGTATTCACCAATGACTTTGCAGCTGACTGTTGACACTTTGCTTTCACATCAACCTGAGTGGATAACACATTGAGGCTATGCTCGGATCTTGCTTCAGGTTTTTAAAGCTGCAACAATCAATACATTACCATGAACCATCTCTCAAATGACTGTGCAGTTAAATGTGAAGGGTACAAAGACAATATTAACCAACTCCCCACTTTAGCCTCTTTCAGATCATAGTTTCTGATTTATGAAAAAATCACCAACACATTTAGCTCTGCTCTGAATAACCTCTTCCCAGAAGAAGCTGTGTCTGTTGAAGCCACTGTCCTCTACTTGCTCAGCAGGAAACAGCAGACACATAGACTGGCTGGGGAGCAGAGGGCAGCATGTAGCAGCTAAAGAGACAGAATGTGAGCACACGGACAGATTAAGTATTATTGTTTGGATTTGAAATACAAAGTGGCAGCCCTATCAGATTGTGTAAATCTGTGTGATTTGGACTCGCTGTATTCAGGTTATGAGTTTGACATAGACCAGCATTACTCAACCAGTGGTCCAGGGACCCCCAGTGATCTGGAGGGAGAGGGTCCACAGAATAAATGGGGGATAGTTCATTTTCCCTATTTAATTCACTTTAGAAGTGAGATTAAGAGTCATACGAGTTGATTAACTGCTCCTCCTCCACGGTTATCTCCTCAACTGTAGTCAACAACTATGAAATGCTGGTCTTACAACCACAATCATCCAGGAGTCTGTGGCACACACACACTTGGTTGTATAAATAAACCCACTTCAGAAGCCCTTCACCTGCACACTACCAGCTGCTGAGGGCTGCTCTCTGAAGTGTGTCTGTGTGTGTGTGTGTTTGTTTGTTAAGTGTGTGTGTGAAACTTAAAAGATTAGGGCAGCAGCAGGTCTTCTTTTGTAGCTTAACCTCACTATTTATGCACGTGTCTGTAGGCTTAAGGTTGGAGGTGTGCAGTGTGTGTGTGTGTGTGTGTGTGTGTGTGTGTGTGTGTGTGTGTGTGTGTGTGTTGAACGTACCATACTCAGCTCGTAGGTGCTCTGGAATGTGTGGCTCATATCCCTCCTTCTCTGGAACCTCATCGAAGTCTTCATCGTCATCATCATCGTCATCATCATCTGTAGCCTTCATCTAAGGAAGATTACGTATGGTTTTACACTTCAATGGGCAATCACATGTAAATATTATGTAACATTAGTTTTTTCAACATCACACCCATATTACACTGTTATTACACCAATAATAGAGATTAAAACACCCATTACACCGTACACCAATATTACTCCGTTATTACACCCAGGTTACACCATTATTACACCCATATTATACCCGTATTACTCTGTTATTACACCACAATGTAATTAGACCTATAATTCACTGTTATTAGAGCAATAGTACACCCATGTAACACCCATATTACACTGTGATTACACAGTATTAAACCCATATTACTGCGTTATTACACCCAAGTTACACTGTTATTAGACCTATATTACAACCATGTAACACCGATATTACACTGTTATTACATCCACTTAACTCATGGACACAGCTGTCAAATGATTGTATACCCAGGATACAGGATTTTGGACAAACACACAACACTTGTTCGTCATTCATGTTGGTTTAAATCAGGGGTGGGGAACCTCCGGGCCGTATACGGACCGCGAGACCATTTGGTACGGCCCTCGAGGTAATTTATAAACACACGCAATAAAGAAATAAATTAAAGAAATCTAGACCGCAAAAGAATTAAACAAACGAGTGCCTGTTTTTCCTGGCCAAGGTCAGGGTCCTTGAACACACCTGGTTTAAATAATATAGAATATCAACATCATATATGAGGACATACATGATGTCCTATATTTTGACTGTATCCCTTTGGCTTAAGGGAGAAGGGAAGGCAAAGTGTGTGTGTGTGTGTGTGTGTGTGTGTGTGTGTGTGTGTGTGTGTGTGTGTGTGTGTGTGTGTGTGTGTGTGTGTGTGTGTGTGTGTGTGTGTTTGAGCTGCTATCAGCGCTAAGCAGAATTTATGGTTTTAATTTCCTGGTGAGGTTGTTAGCCATTGACTGGGCTACAATGCAGAACACAACACTCCATACACACAGGGGTCATTTCCATAACACAGATGTGTGTGTGTGTGTGTGTGTGTGTGTGTGTGTGTGTGTGTGTGTGTGTGTGTGTGTGTGTGTGTGTGTGTGTGTGTGTGTGTGTGTGTGTGTGTGTGTGTGTGTGTGTGTGTGTGTGTGTGTGGCTGCTATGTCTTTAACAGCCGAGGACACATACACTTCAGTCAAGCAGCATAATAATCACAGTGATTAGGGTTATGTGGAGCAGTAAAAACGTTAAGCTAACCCCTTATTCTCAAGGGTCTCTTTTTCATTAGTGTGTAATAACAGTGTGTGTAGTTGTGAGTGTGTGTGTGTGTGTTGCTGCTGATAAAGCCCATTAGAATGTTTGAATTAGTTTACAAATGATGAGTCGCCGTATGATTACTAAAGCACAAGTGAACCATAAGACAGCGTCAGTTAACCGTGTCACAGCCCTGAACACACCTCTCCACCCGGCACACACACACACCAATAAAAAGACTTCATATTACAGCACTCACTACTCATTAACCAGCAACTAAACAATTAAAGCATAATTAGCTGTTGTTAATGCAGCCATGTATACTGGTGGGTGGTCTGAGAGGAATTGGGCTCAGATTTGATGTTAAACATACAAAGTAAATGGCAATGAAAGAAGTGAATCATTTTTCAAATTTCTTTCTGTTTTTAGGCCCGGGGATCTAAAGGTGTTTGTGATATGGACTTGAGTGCTGGTGAGCAGCAACTGACTGACTGACTTTTAATTATGGTTCAACAAACTGGTCAGGTACCAATCAAATAAAAGCAACAACTGGGCCATATGGTGATCGTGCTGATTATAGGACGTTGTAGCGAATGCTTCCATCTAACGCACCACTATTTAACCACCTCTTCTGTGGACCCACTTATATTTAGGAATTGGTGCAGCAGTCTATCCTCTGTGGAAAACACACCTTTATGAGACTTCCATGTTTTGTCCAGTAGGATCATCTCCACATATCAACAATGATTTTATAATAGTTTAAGTGTAAATTAAATCTACAAAAGTAAAAAGCTAAAGCTATGAACGGTCCACATGATAGTCACATGACTTCACGTCACAACCGCTAAGCTATAGGCGGCTAATGTTTGGCATGAAGATGTTTAGTAATTCAGTTGGAATGCTGATACAGCATTCCAACTATCTGTTAGGCTACGCACGAAATTCTTTATTATTCCGCCGGGTTATTTTGCACCTCTTCTTCTCCCACATTCCACATCGCAGAAACTCCGTTCAAACATCAAAACGTTCAGCTCGGTCTGGAATCGATGGCTATTACTTTTCTCATTCATAACTTTCCTAATTCCAGAGATACATCCCATAATTCATCACATTTTTTACATGGAAGTCAATGGAGAAACTCTTCAGACTTGAACAATCTTCATGCAACTTCAACTGCTAACTGCTCCTTCATACTTTCACTCAGAAACCTCATTCCAACTTTAAAATGTTACACATCTTTCTGATGTCTGCAGCAGTATAGCAGCCAAATTAATAATATAGCGACAAGCGGGAGACAACGTGTGACTTACTCGCGGGGAATTTAAAGTGAAATGGAATTGGTTACAAAACCTTACTACACATCTCGATTCTCCGGTGTGGCACTATTATGGATTTAAGCCAAATCAACGAGGCGAACCTACGGACTTGAATGAGCCGGGCGGTGTGTCGCATTTGTTTAAAAAAGGTAGCGACAAAAGCAGGCAATACCACGCATTTTAAACTACACCTAAAACACAACCACCCCATTCCGTTTTCCCAGCTGGTAGCAAACACGGGAGCTGGAGATGGAGAGCCCCCACCCTCCATACAGTTTACAATCAAAGATGCATTTGCCCGACAATGCAAACATGTTGGTGTTCCTTGCTCGAAATCTTTGAAAAACAGATTTGGATATGGCCTGTTGAGGCATCTGGGTCTTTGTATGGACAGTGGACTGTACACTTGACTGTTGTTTTAAGGAGGGCTTTTTTGTTTGTGAGACAATGTGTGCTCATATTTATTTATTTATTTATATATTTATATAATATAATTATATATATATATATATATATATATATATATATATATTTATATATATATATAATATATAGATAGATAGATAGATAGATAGGGAGAGAGAGAGAAGAGAGAATAGAGAGATAGATAGATAGATAGATATATAGAATAGATATATTAGATATATAGAGATATAGAGTGAGAGAGAGATAGAGAGATAGAGAGAGAGATAGAGAGAGAGTCTGATCTCTCGATAGCTCTCGTCTAGATATATCTGAGACCACATAGATAGCTCGACGCTCGTCTCGCTGATACTCGCTCGCCCTCGCCGCTCGGACAGCGCTCGTTCGCTGCATCGATCGCTCGTCGCAGGGCGCCGATCATCGCAGCGATCGAGAGAGCGCTGCGAGAGATCGAGAGAGAGAGAGAGCTCTGTTTTCCAGCCTGAGTCTATTTAATTTATTGTTTTGGTTGTGTGTGATTTAATTAATTTATTATAATTTAATTAATTTGTTTTATTTATTATATATCATTTATATATTTTAACATTATTTCACATTTCATTTGCCATGTTGAATGTTCAATAAAAAGTTATGTTTGAAAGGATGTACTTGAATTATTATTATATATTATCATTATGTCAGTGGTCTAAAATGGTCTTACAACAGTGCTGACAATATTATCGTTTATCGCAATCATTTCCAGGAAAATGTATCGCCCAACAAAATTAATTATCGTGACAGGCCTACTTGTATATCCAACCCAGTCTCACTGCATTTCGTGTTATTAGTCACGAAATTAATTTAATCTATTGATTCGTGTTCACCAACACGATTTTCACATTTTTTTCGTGTCACACAGAACGATTTTAAAAGCAATGTATTTCTATTGGTAGTATGTTTCGTGCCTGCAACACGTCTTTTTGTCCGGTCGGGTCTTGGAATACCAGAAGCTGTGTGGTTCATAAAAACATGTTCTTACTCAATATCTTACCCTAAGCCTAACCCTATCCCTTTTATGTTAAATTGTATAATGTCTGAGTTTTTTTGCCGTCCGCGAGGAAAAGAAATGTCTCAGAGCCTCAGAATACTGACATCTGTATTTTATGTCATCTTTTTTTCCTTCTAATTTGTTATTATTTGGTGCAGGCACGAAACATACTACCAATATAAATACATTGCTTCTAAAATCGTTCTGTGTCAGAATACTTAAATCTGTATTTTTTTAAATGTCTTTTTCCTTCTAATTTGTTATTATTTACATTGCTTTTAAAATCGTTCTGTGTGACACGAAAAAAATGGCTGAAATCGTGTTGGTGAACACGAATCAATAGATTAATTTCGTGACTATAACACGAAATGCCGTGAGACTGTGTTGGTATATCACCGGTCCATGCCTCAACAGCTTTACGCCAAATCTGAGATCTCACCATAGGCTGTTGCCATGGAAACGCATCCCTCGCCATAAAATACGATGTCGCTATAACTCCTATGAAAATGTTCAAAAAGTGCTCAAACTTCACATGTGTGCTAACAGTCCAGCTGTGAAGACATACGGGACAGTTTTGAGATTTCTTCAAATGCCGTTGCCATGGCAATACAAGGCTCGCCATGAAACACGGTTTTCTCATAACTTCAGTGAAAATGCTCCAAACGGCCCAAAACTTCACAGGTTTGGTAACGATGCAGCCATCAACGCATCTAAGCGTATTATGGGATGTCATCAAATGCCGTTGGCATGGCGACAGATCATTCGCCATCAAGTTAGTTCAAAGTTTGCAGTTCAAATATTCTGCTGCTTTTCCAAGCCTTTTTACTCTCTTTTCTTCTCTCATCACACATTCAAGCCCCCAGTGTTCATGGATCATTTCAATCTAAATTCTTCACTTTCTTCTTACACATTATATTTCAGCATAGCAGTTTAGCATCAGCTTTTCAGCATAAAGCATTCCCACAAGCAATTTCTTCAGGAATTGCATTCTCTAGTTGTTTGAATGCTGTTCA